TTCTCACTGGTGGACAAAGTGATGTTCCTAAAAAGGCCTAGCCCTACTAGCATTGTATTAAGAAATGATGACTCAACAACACATTTGTGGTCCTTCCTATGTACTGACCTCACTGCCAGAGAGGTGATAGATGCGGGCCTCTTGCAGCAAAGGAAAAGCCTCACTGCAGCGGCGAATCAGTTCATCTGACTCAACTTTTTCTACAAAGTAAGCAGGCTCCAACAGAGGCAGTCGCACATGTGAGAGCAACCTGACCAGTGAAGGATAGCGTTCATCCTGCCGGGCTCTCACCCAGTGCATGAGAGCTTCAAAAACACACTCCTCACACTTCACGTCAAGGTCATCCCTCTGCAGGACAGCCTCCAGCGAATCAGCTGGCAGCTCCAGGAAGTCCTGCTGCTGGACTACCTGGGAGAACTGAGTGGTGATGAAGTCCTGAGCACTCGTCTTCAAGGCCGGCAAGGCATGGCTATCAGCAAGATTCAGGATCCCAATGCAACTCTCCAGGTGCAGGGACTTGCTCAGAAAGCCAGCACAGGCCTCCACAACTCGTAGGAACTAAAAATGACAGCGTAGGCGTTAGTAGAACTTTTAAGATGGATCTTTTGAAATGACTGATGTACACGTTCAGTGTTTCTAAAAGATGTCAGCGATAAAAAGATTAAACCACATTTCAAAGAATTATGAGCCACACCAGAATTTCAAAAGAGTTGTGCAAAAGGAAACATGACAACAGGAACATGGTCTTAGAAACCTAAAAGTTGACGAGGGCCATAACATAACAACAACTAACTCAAGATTAAAAATGCTATGTGCGCCTCAATGTTGCAATATTTTATTTATTTTGAAATCTACTTTTTTGTTGTTGTAATCTAATAATTTTAACATTTTACTGTGTTGGATTTACCAATAATAACATTGTTACCCAATTTTTAAAAAGTGCTTCATAAAGTTATTATTATCACATGCATATCGCCAAATGTATCCTAAATGTTAATTTAATTCTAAACTAAATACATTGTAACCCTAAAATAAACAAAACATGCAAGTAACAACAAGATTGCTTTTTTAAAATTATTTCCAAAAATTCAAATTACTCGCCACAAAAATAGAAGTATAGAAACACAAACATGTGCCTCCCCCCTCTGAGTGGCACAGCTGTGTGGTTAATTTAAGCTTGTATGGAAAACTGATCCAAAGTGTAAACAACAGTGCAACTTTCACTTCCCTCTTTCTCTCAATTCTTACTTAGTCAGATGTTTGTTCCACTGAATGGGGGAAAGGGTGAGGTGATGAAAACCATTTGAGGAATATATATATGTCGTTCTGCTTGCGTTCTGCGTCTTTTTCTAGTCTCAGTCTTTCTGAATGTAAATAAATGTGCTTTCTGCATCACTTGTGTACCATTGTTTGACACAATAATAGTGGCATCTATATTGTGTTAAAAGTAAACTGTTGGGTTTGAACTTTGAATACTGGTAATTTTAGTTTTTGCTTCCAGTGAAGAAAAGCATTATCATGCGTGTGATCAATGTGACATAAATGAGAAAGTGTTACTCATCTGATAAAACTTCTTCACACCAAATTGGCCGTCAAAAATGTGTCAAGATTAAAAGGAAATGTTTTTCATAGCAGGTTTATTTATGTTGTGAGGATATGTTTATCATCTCATATCTTTATAGGTTAAGAAGATTTGGAAGTCAATGCATTTACGTAAAGGCATGTCATTATCTTATAAAGTAAGTAATTGTTTCACCTGAAATTGACTGGCAGCCTCTAGTATTCTCTGGACATTGGAGTGTGTGAGGAGGGCCCGGCTGGTGTAGGTATACTCCAGGAGAGAGTGCATCGTCCCACTGTCCAAACCCTTTATTTCCACACACTCCTCATGGCTCTCTTTTAGACCATTGCAAAACATAGCCCTACAGAAATAAAACATGAATTCAGTCACACTAGCAGTGCCGTCACAGTGGAGTTAGACAGTACTGGTTTTATTTTTACCTGAAGTAATGACTGGCAGCAGCAAGTATGGCTCTATGACTAGGGAAGTCATGTCCCTGAACACGCAGCACCACATCGGTCAGTTCTCTGTTCACTCGTAGGGTCTCCATCCCTCTCTGCAGCTCCACAGGTAGACCGCCATCTTCCCAACGTAATTCAGTTGAGCCCGTCTGACTGTTTTCCTCCTGGACTCGGCTGGACTCATCTCCAACAAGTGGCAAAGGACAGTCTGTAGTCCTTTCCAGTGTCTCATTCATCTTGTATACCAGAAGCCCCTCAGAAACTCAGAAGAACAGCTACTTTAGTATTTGCAAGACCTCTACGGTTTACAGTTGAAACAGTTGTGTCACTGTGGATCTGTTTTTTCCTGTACTCTTCATACTTCCTATTTCTGTTCTGTGAGAAACATACACAACGCATGTTTCTAGACACTTCCTCTTCTTGCGCTGAGCACATTTCCCCTAAGTTACACAATTTTGTACTCAGAAGGCACAGACGCCAGGTCTCTTCCAAAGGATTGCACCGAATATAGATTACTGCAAATAACACTCAGCGTCTTAACCGAAGGGAATAAACTGTCATTGCAGCATGACATAGTTTATAAAGTTTCTTAGTTTTGACTGAAGTTATAAACCAGTCAGAATATAGGTCTTGGAAAAAGGTTCAAATCTGTTGAATCAGGTAAAAAAAAAAAAAAAATGTGTTAATTGCATGCATATGTATTATATTAAAGAGGGCTATACAACAAATATACTCTAATGCAGTGGTTCTCAAATGGGGGTACGCGGACCCCTAGGGGTACGTTGGAGTACTGGTGGGGGTACGTGAGATTTATTTGTATGTTAATGGAAAAAAAAAACATAAGTAATGCATTTAAACAAACTACTAATAGTAGATTAACAACTTTATTCAAAGGTTTACAGTAATTCTGGATAATAAAATGGGAAAAATAAACGTGGTGCTCTCTTTTCCTCTCCCTCTCCTGACAGCCCGTCAGTCTCGTGCAGCTCGCTGAACCTGTAATAAGTGACCCGACAGTAAAGAATACATATATTTATAACTAGTTTAGCTAGTTCCAGAGTAGATAAACTAGCTAAGTGTGTTAGGTCTAACTCTTAGTGTATTTTTGCTCAGCTCAACGGTCCGTCACAGGGGCGGAGCTGTGATCATGCAGAGCTGCGTGTTCTCCGTCAGCAGCAGCTGATCTGATCTCTCTCTCGAGTCCGGTTATACTTCACTCGCGTTTATGTCCAAATCTATCAGATCTAGATAGTTCTAGTTAATTATTTGACTGCCTGCTAATCAAAGGACACCTAAACAATAAGCGTTGCTTGGCAACGGCGTGTGGCCGCAAAGTATAGCGCAGCATTATGCATGTTATATGAGGGGTCAAAATCCCATGCTCATATATTTTGTTCTCTTCGTTCCCCACGCCCCAAAATAAATAAATAAATATACCAATTTTAGGAAAAGTAACGAAGTTTGAGCAGTGTGGGTTTTATATTAACAGAGTTACACATATTTCAAAGTGCGAAGTGTAATAACTGCAGTTTGCCTCCCTGTCAGAATGACAAAGATCCTCAGTGAAGCACAAGCCCATGTTTCTCACTACATTTTAAGTACAACTTATTAAAAAGATCAGTTCAATGCAACTAATGTCGTCTTAGTGTTATTGCATGATGTTAAAATTGGTTTGCCATGAATTTAGTGATGGATTGTAAACATTTGAAATGTAGCATTTAAGTGTTTCTCAGTTACAATGTTGTTGTTTTAATAAATCAGACACTGATGGTGCAGCGATGTACTGTACCTCTTTATATAGGCTTTTTTTCCTTAACAAATTGTTTTTGCGCTGATCAGGGGGTACGTGGCTGAATTTTTTTTTTCAAAGGGGGTACATTATTGAAAAAAGTTTGAGAACCACTGCTCTAATGTATTGGCTACTGCACCGGCACTGCTGTATTTCTAATGCACACATAGTTCCACAGTTCTATGAAATGCAAGTTATACTAGCTGAGCACCCTTTATTATACATTGGGTTTTATACATTTTGTATGCCATAACTGTAACTTATAGCTTCTTCATCTGTTTTCCTTTCCTCTAAGCCTGTCTCTGTGCTGCTGACTCCTCTCAGATCAATAAAGGACTCTAGTATAATATCTTTACCTCCTATGAACCGATAGTCTACACAGCATTTGTAGACACTATCAAAGCAATAGCTCAGACTAGATGGTGAAATTAGAATATGGCTGACAGCTCTGCAGCAGAAATGCAGGATTTCATCTTCTCCACTAAGTGGCACTATTGCCTCGTTGGTCTGCAGTACCACTCAAACACAATCTGAAGTTATTTCATGTTTAAATGTTTGGCGAAATAGGCCAAACTTGGATCCAAGCTGTTTCCTAGCAACGCAAATTCAACAATTTACCCTTTATCTTCCACAATGTTTGATGATCGGATTATCATATTGTTAATCATGTAAATTCATAATTTGGAAACCGTATATTTTATTCTGAAATATGTATTTACATTTGTTTTGCTGTAGCTCGTTCTTAGCCCTAAAACTTGAGACATGGAGGGGTGTCGATGTCTGCAGACAGAGTGAATCACCTGCCGTCACATGTTTCACTTCCCATTATTTGCGGTAAGAATAAGGTCAAATTGGCGCTCACCGTGATTTCTCTCAGTCTGTTTGACGTATTTTTGTCCAATTGGTTTTGTAGCCAAGCAAATTTGATGCTGGTGTCAAACTGTGATGTAGCCTACATGAGCCCAAACGAGGACAATGTGCTTTTTCAAATGAGTGTGTAACCCACATTAAATCCTGAGTAGATCTAGGACGAAACAAAGCTAATTTGTGGGGGTGTGCTTTTTATTTGTTTGTTTTTAAACACTCCACCACTTATATTGTCACTAATAGATCTACAAGAACATCTGCAACGCAACTGTGTGCAGGAAATATGTCAGACTTCCTCTTAGTGTACCTTCAGTACAGGAAGCATCAACCACTTGTCTCAGTACAAACGCATGTATTCTCACACGAGAGACTGACTGACTCAGGGCTCATGGTGTGAACACTGTGTTACAACTGAGGCAGATTCAGGATGAAGTGTTCCCAGAAAACTTGTTTGAGGGCCAATGACTTGCTCTTGTGTCTGGGACTACTTCTGCACTGTGGTAAGTAGGCTAGTACATTGAATACCTGCAGTTGGATTTCATTCTGGACAGTGATCATGATGTGTGAAATGATGGTAGTCTAACAGTAATAAAACAGAAAATAAAATAAATAGTCATTTAAAGAAAGAAGCCTATGTCCATTTTGAGTAAAAATGTTGTGTGGCTGAACTCAATTACTCATAATTGTTAAATAACTTTTCTTATATCTGTCTATTCATATACATTTATTGAAGCAGGCAAATACATTACTATCAAATCACTTGAGTCTGGAAAAGCGGCAACAATTACTTCCTTTATTATAGTTACAAATAAATGTCCTTTAAGAGTAGGTGTCCACTATTTGCAGGCATTGCAAGTTCAATGATTATTATAACCTACTTTACACGAAAAGGTTTGACTTCCTGCAATGTGGAAAGCAACTTAAAGGCTACAATGTGTTTCTTCACATACCTATGCAATACGAAAAACAAAGGTTGGGAAGCTAATAAAGTTGGAGTTGAAAATAAAACATTGGTTTATGAGAGTATTGTAATGTTATGATATTATTTTTTATGATGATTATTATTAAATAGGGTCTGATAGTGCTCCGGTTGTTAATATCATCTTTATGTAGGACTGAGAATTATAGAATTATACCATAATTTGGCAGTACCTAAGTAATGTTGACATGATAGCCTTCCTGCACCTGTCTATTCATTTATGTATTTCTTTTTTCCTTGTTCTTTTTTGTTAGTATTGTTTTGATTCATTTTGATGGTGTTCTTTGTGCTCTTGCCTCTTTTGAAAAGCAATATAAAATGTCATTACAAATAATAAAAGGTTAGACCCTGTAACGTAGCACACTTATAAAACAGACTGACACTGTAAGTGGCAGTAACTAAAATCTGTATCTGTGTTTTGTCTGTGCATCAAACAGGGGAAGCACAAGTGAACACCGAAGTGCAGGCTGGGCCTCTGTATCGTGTGGTGGGCTCTGAACTCTCCATCTCTTGCAATGTGAGTGGCTTCAGAAGTGAGAACATTACTAAAGAAATTCAATTCCGTGTGAAGAAGCCTGCAAAAGCAACGGAAATCAACATCATCAGCACCGGAGACCCAGATTTCAGCTATTCGGTGTATAAATCACGTGTGAGGAGCGACGAAATTACTCTGAAACATGAAAATCCAAACTCAGTATTCTTTAAGATACAACGACTAGTGAAAGGTGATGAAGGGGAATATGACTGCTCTGTAGTCAACCATGAATCTAATTATGATGGAACATACAGTGTTAAGACAACAGTGAAAGGTAAGTGGACTTTTGAATGTAAGAATCTTACTACAGCGCAGTAAACTAAGATGGCAAAAGTATATGACTTTCCTTTCTTTCTCTCTGCTTCTGATGTGGTCCCATAGTGATTGACAACTCCCTTAGTGTTTCATCACCTGCCTCCCCCCCCACACTGAGCTATAATGAGGGTGATGCTCTCACTTTAACATGCCAGGCATCCAGCAACACCATCCAGCACACGCATCTGTCTTTTGCCTGGTATCTCCACAAAGACGGTGAGGATCGTAAGCCTATCATTTCTCTGGGTAGAGATTTCACACTGAGCCCAGGTTCGGGTTTTGAAGGGCGCTACCAAGCTGGACACATAAGGTTAGATAAATTGGGGGAGGCCACATACCAGCTAAACATGGCTCAGCTCGAGCTATCAGACCAAGGCAGGATCTACTGCCAAGCTCAGGAGTGGATTCAAGATCCTGACCAATCCTGGTATTCCATCACAGAGAAAGCTGCAAAGGAAACTACCCTGAATGTCAAAGCCAGAGGTAAGAGTCATGAAAATTAAATAGCCGATCTTGATTTGGGTTGACGTATTCACTATACTCTTCCTCTTTTCAGTCATTGTGGCATCATGGCAGGATGTTTTTTTGACTGTGGTTGTCTCACTCTGCTTAATATTCTTTGCTTCCGTTAGAAGTCCTGCCAGACACGTCGTCTCTGGCGGTGAGCATTTCTGCACAGGCGGTGACTCTGCAAAAGGGGGAAGAGCTGTCACTGTCCTGCAATGTTGACATGCAGAACCTCAAGGAAAGGTTCTTCTCTGTAGCCTGGCTCAGAGGAAATGTTGAGCTGGTCTGCATTGGCCCTACAGGCATTCAGTCTGTGGGGCCCCAGTACAGTGGGAGAATGAAAGAAGGAGAGCTCAGAGCATCTCGGATAGGGGACAGAGATTACCATCTCAAATTGCAGCCCGTCAGAACCGAGGACCAAGGCCAGTATATCTGCAGAGCATGGCTCCAGGACAGAGGTCCAGATGGTGCCTTTACACAGGGAGCTCCCCAGGACTCCAGCTCTCAGGAGATCAGCATCTTAACCACAGGTCAGTCAACTAAGACACACATACACATAGACTTTACTTGGGCGGGTCGCCCAGGTATATTAACGTCCGCCAAAGTATATTACGCGACCCATTTAGGTCCGCAAGCACGACGCCATCTGCGATCGATTAACTAGTGGACAATGATCCCTCGCTCTACCTCTCCTGTACCTGTTCGTTCTGCTATCGCGTGAAGGGCCTGCTTTATGTGCTCCTCAGTAACCCCGCTGTGAGGCTCTGACGAACAGTTCGTGAGCATGCTCCACTAGCACCCCCACAAACATTTATATACACAAACATTTATATACACAGAGTTTAATTTTATTCAGGATGTACCTTGGATTTTAAGTTATATAATCTTCATTTTATCTTGCAAGTTATTATTACTATTAATGAGATAACACATGATTATTTTAATAATAAAGTTGCTGTTTTCTTATTATCTTCTTCAACACACTCACTAACTATCTTTTGCTTTACCTTATCACAGAAAGTGGGCTCTCAGTTGAGATGGAAAACACCGTGGGTGTTAACGAAGGTTATGGGCTGATGCTCACCTGTAAAGTGCATGGGGTCAAAGGTCAACTCTCTGTCACCTGGCAGCGCAAATCGACATCCACATCAGCGGCCATTTTCACCAAAGTCATTAGTCTAAGTCAGGAGGGTGTTGTGGAAAAAGCGGAGTTCATGAGTCACAAAGTAAATGCAACGCGTACTGCGGCTGGCACCTTCATCCTTGAGCTTGATGAGGTCAGACCTTCTGATGCAGGAGTCTACGAGTGTGCTGTGTCTGAGTGGGAAAGCAACAGCAAGACCAACAGCCAATCACAGACGACCACTGTGACAGTGGTTCCTTCGGGTAAGATGTGGCTCTCTTTCTGTGGTGCAAATTATTCAAGAAAAATGTATGATGAAACCGTTATATTGACACTCCAGGTTCCTCTTATGACATAGATTGTCTGATTAGCTGTTTAAAAACATAATCAGTGATTTTCAACAAACCTGGATTACCTTCTAACCAACAGTTCAGTTATGAGTCCTATAATCTTTCTCATCTCTTTCAGAAGTATGTTCAGCCCAGCATCTTTCGCATGCAAGAAATATCAATGTCATTTGAAGAAATGTACTGAGCACAATCTTGCTCCACATAACACTATCCCTTTTGCAATGTCTTCCTATTGCGTCACCTCAGGAAACATTTTCACATACCTTGACATTTGCGAAGTCATGAGGAAAACTGTTTAAGGTTTTAAACAGAACACACTGTGCACTTTAACCCCACTACAAGTAGCTGCCTAAGAAAAGAAAACACGTGGATATTTTATGTTCTGCTTAACACATGTGTGCTCTAGGATGTAATAAATATAGCAGGTTTCACTTCCAGCGCTTTAACATGCATTTGCTGAGTATAGACTTTAAAGTACCTCACTGCATACCGTATTTGCATATAATATGCATTTTTGTTTTAGAACTGAAAATGATACCATATTGTTGTGCGAATTACAATAACTGAACGAGACAGACAGTATGTTGGAAATGTCATCTACACACACCTCTTGTTTACTTTAAACTCTCATGACAATTGTATGATCATCAACTTTTGCTTTTTTATTTTCCAACGTTACAGAATCTTTTGTGAAAGTGTCACTGATAAGTCGCAACAACAATGTGACTGTGGGAGAAAATGTGGAGTTGATGTGCCGGGTCAAAGGGCCACCTGTACCAATGACACTGGCTTGGAGCCTGCAGCGTGATGCCTCAACCCTAGATAACATCCTGACAATGTACTATGATGGTGCCATCAGCTGGTCTGGAGACCAGAGCCGCTACCAGCTGAAAGTTGAGAAACAAAAGAATGGAGTCTTTCACTATTTGCTCATCAACGGTGTGAGCCAAAGTGAGGTGGGAATCTACCAGTGTAGAGTTTCTGTTTTCCTGGATAATGTATATAAGAAGCTGCCTCTATCCAACCCGGTGGCTATTTCGGTGCTGAACCCAAGTAAGCTGACATTTTGTATGCTACATATTAAGGGCTATTTTTGGATTAAAGCTGCATTGTGCATTTCATTTATTTAAGTTTCTAACCATGTATGACTTATATTTCCCTCTTTGTCCTAGCGAGCAAACTTGATCTGACGCCAACCCCTGCCTTGACAAGAAACATCAACACTGACATCAAAATAAAATGCTCAGTTAACTCAAAACCCTCTGCTCCCACTCACTATGCGGTCACCTGGCTACTGCAGCAGCAGGCAGAAAGTACGATGATTATGAAATCAGACAGGGATGCTCTAGTTACATTCGGACCAAATGTACAACCGAGCCACAGTCAGCGAATCAGCATGAAGCGCACTCAAGGCCCCAGTTTTGAGTTAAATATTCGGCAAGCTCGAATTTCAGACAATGGTTCATATGTCTGTGAGGTGGTGGAGTGGCTTCAAGATCCTCATGGTGACTGGTATCAGCTCTCACCAGTTTCCAAAACCACAGAGCTCACAGTTATTGAGCCTGGTAAGTTTGTATTCACATACATGAAGTCCTTACAATTTGCACATCATAATGCGACTAGTAGTATCTTTAAGCAAATTCCATTGTTTGGAAATCATGGTAAGTCATGCATTACGTGGATGCAAGTAACGTTTTTTATTTTGTCCACTTCTTTGCAGAAGTCGTTAAAGCCATCTCCGAGCCAAAATGCAAGTCTGATATCTGGATGGGGATGCTCATAGTTACTGTCATCTGCTCAATGTTGGTCATAGTCCTACTGGTGCTGAAGATATGCCGGAGCAAGGTCTCAGGAGGAAATAAGTCTGGCGAAAATCTGTGGGCTGAGCAACACCCTCTTAACACCAAACCCATTGCAGACGATTGAAGCTCAAAGATCAGAGGAGAAAAAGAGAGAAAAAACAGCATGCACTGATATTCTTATGTAATGTAATACATGCAATGTTTTATAAGTCAAACATTTTCACCGTATTTACAGCATTTTTTATTATGTTTTATTCAATAATTAAATTAAATTAGTTAAATAATTATTTTTGATAATAGTCAATACACGTTTTTTGAAATGTTCTTACTGCCTTTATGAATTCATGATAATTAATAAGGCACTTTTCCTTTTGCAGCTAAAACATCTTTGCATAATCACCAGCTTCTGACTGCCTGCAATGGACACTTGAGCTTCTGTAGGCAGGAGATCAACTTTGTGGCTTTACACCTACAAAGCAACATACCGTGAATGACAGATTCCTTTTTATGTAACATCGTTCAGGCAGCTTGATACTATGTCTTTGATGGGGAGAAGTCAGAGCATAGCATGTCTAAGGGAGCAGCTAAGCAGACGAAATGTTTTTTTTCTGAAAGCATGACGGGCAATGACAGTGATCTGTGGTTCTGCAAAAGCACAGGATGCCTCTGTGGTCTGAGAAACTGCTGAGAGTCAAGTGTGACAGGATTTGGGCAGACAAGTCACAGTTTGAGGTTAATTTCATGCAATTGAAGTGCAAATCAGCCATACAACATTTACATGTGATTCTGAATGCACAATATAACTTATAGATGAGACGTGGAAGTTGTGTGTTTTGACTGTGTTTCAAGGAGTCTGCGCTTCCTGAATATGTGTTTGTGTGTAGAGTCTGTGCAAACAGCGCTTATTCATTTTTGTTTGTTTTGGCTGGCTCAATCACATTGGATTTGTAATTAAACATTTACTATGAGATGAAAAATCTGACTTTCAAGAATGTGTCAAGGTTTTTCACATCTGTAATGGTTGAGCAAAATATGAATTGTGCCTTTTCTCATGGTTCCACAATGTAGGACAACGCGGCAGATCAAACATTTTAAATATATAACCCGAGCATTTCACCTAAAAGGTCTAGTCTTGATTGGCCATGTAACTATAGTAACATCATCTTAGCATTTCTTAATTATAGAAGACCAGACTGAAGGTAAACGTCACCTAAACAGGCAAGGTGTAGTTAAGCATTTTTCCTACATAGTATGTATTATGGTAAGTACAATACATGCTAAAGAATACATTAAAGTCAGCACTACATAAAATCATGTCTCACTGTCTAACTACTCACAAGCTGGATTGTACTTTTTTATGTTTGCACATGAATGCCTGTCAGTTTTAGAATATCTGCAGTTGCTGCATTTGAACAGATGTCCCTACTCCACAAAATTGGATGCTGAAGAGTAATCAAATCAAAACTAACGGAGAGGAAAGTAGAGTCTCTCGGTTTTGCTCTGTCTCTCTTTCTCCCTGCATCAGCCCTATCAATGTTTAACACCCCATCTGTGTGAGAGACAAGAATAGGATACATTCCTTGCTATTACTTTTGTGGAAACAGGCAAAGATACCATATTTCCTAAGACATTTAGGGTTCAGTGATTCCCACAGCATGTTAATATTTTGGGGGGCCCCCAAAGTATAATGGCTCCCCCCAAAGTATAATTTGTGTGTTTTTTGACTCAGTGAGCACTCATTTGCATTTGCATTGGTGGCAATGAGTGCTCAGTGAGTAAAAAAAACTTTAAAAACCATAAATTATACTTTGGGGGGAGCCACCCATAAATTATACTTTGGGGGGAGCTATTATACTTTTTTTGACAAGCCGCGACGGATCCACTGCTCAAACAGGCTGTGCCGTCTGTGCAACCATTAAGTTTGTTGCTCATTTCATTCACCAGTTTGTATATAGTTAAAATAAAGTTATCCGGTGATTGACGATCAGATACCAGTGTGGAGTTTTCTGTCTTAAATTTGATATAGATCATGTTCTTTGTTGGTATGTGAGGATGTTCATACACACTTGGTAAGATGTGTGTGTGAAAGAAGACTACAAAAAACAGCAGTGACTGCTCTCAGCTGTTTAACACTTAAAGACCTAGACACCATCACCAGTTGTAGATTGTCTGAAGTGCAGTGTTACTATGAAAATTCACTAGAATGCAGGAATTGAGAAAAAAAATCTCAACATTTTTCACGCCCCGAGTCGTTCCCCCAAAGTATATTTCATTTCTGCGGGAATCACTGCGGTTGTTATGTAGGCCTACAATGTAAGGTTAAACTAACAGTGTTTTTCTAAAAGATGTGAAAGACAAAAAGTACAAGAGGACCTTCAAGAAAAGCTGTAGACGTCTCAGCCCTACAGAGATGATGTAGCTTTGACTTTAGTCTGAAATTATACCAGTCCTTCACAGTCTGGTGGACTGGCTCCTTCTTACATCCTCTCTCTTAACTTTACTGTAATTCCACTGCCTTGTGTTTCCATGGCAATGCCTGTCAGAGAAAACGAAGAAACATTGAATTTGAGAGGCAAATCAATGCTTGTATCTATGCAACACAGAGTATATTTAACAGGGACAAACTTCACTGCACAATGGCAGCCAGGCTAGAACTCCCTTGTCTTTATAAAGTGTTGTAGTGCCGTGAAAAGAGAGTCGGAGGCGGTGTATTAAGAATGGAGTTCCAATCTTTATTATCCATTACTTTCAGAGAGGTTAACACATGCACTGCTCTGCCTGATGAGCTAGCAGGAATGGCAGCTAAATCTAGGATAGGAATCCCCACTAAAGGGTCCGTGTGGCAACACAATAAGCAAGGTGAATTATGTCCAATAACGTGTCACCACACAAGCCCCCCCTGAATTCACACATAAACAAAATCAGCATGGCGGGGAGGAACGACACGCCGACCCCCACGACTCCTGAGCACGGGAGTCGGAAAAGTGACTCCCGCCTGTGCGGCCCCCGGAAGGGAAGGGACCGGAACAACAGGTCTTAAATCCGTGACAGGGGACGAGGCCGGGGGGCGGCCCCGTCGCGGAGGTCGAGCCAGCACCACAGGCTGGTCCAAGTCCAGGTGAGCAGCCTTCACCCGGTCCACCGAGACGTGCTCGGCCTTGCCACCCAGGTCGACCACCAGGTGCTTGTCCCCGTGCTCCAAGACCCGGAAAGGCCCATCATAAGGGGGCTGCAGGGGGCCTCTGTGCGCATCGTGCCGGATGAACACGTGCTCCGCCGAGCGGAGCTCTGCGGGAACCTGGGACACCTGAGTACCGTGCTGAGTAGTAGGGATCGGAACAAAGGCCTCAGCGGCGTCACGCAGGAAAACCCGCTGGGCCGACGCCGACCAGGGAGCCGATGCATTTGGGAGGAAATCCCCCGGAACTCTCAGCGGCTGACCGTAGACCATCTCCGCTGTAGAACACTGCAGATCTTCCTTAGGTGCGGTCCTCAGGCCCAGCATCACCCAGGGCAGCTTGTCGACCCAGTTACCGTCCGTAAGGCCGGCCTTGAGGGCCGCCTTCATGGAGCGATGAAAGCGCTCGCAGAGACCGTTAGCCTGAGGGTGGTAAGCGGTAGTCCTGCGCAGCTTAACCCCCAAACCGCCTGCCACAGCGTTCCAGAGCTCGGACGTGAACTGAGAGCCCCTGTCTGAGGAAATGTCTGACGGGGTGCCAAAACGACACACCCACGTTGCAATGAAGGCCCGGGCAACGTCTGCGGCTGATGTCGAAACGAGCGGAACCGCCTCCGGCCAACGGGTCGTCCTGTCCACCATGGTGAGGAGGTAGGAAAACCCCTGAGAGGAAGGCAACGGACCAACCAGGTCAATGTTGACGTGATCAAACCTCCTCTCAGGCACCAGGAAACGCTCCAACGGGGCCTTCGTGTGGCGGTGCACCTTAGCGCGTTGACAAGCCACGCACTCCCTGGCCCAAGTCCTCACGTCCCTTTTCAGTCCTTGCCAAACGAACTTCGCCGCTACCAAACGGACCGAAGGTTTAACGCCGGGGTGTGACAGGCCGTGCACAGCCTCGAACACAGGACGCCTCCAGCTGGCAGGGACGACAGGCCGCGCCAGGCCCGTAGAGACGTCACACAGGAGAGTAATGCCCGCGTCGCCGAACACCACGTCCTCCAAGCGCAGCCCCGCGCTCTCCACCTTCAGGGCCTGGACGCCGGGATCTGTGACCTGGTCTGCCGCCATGCGAGTATAGTCCAGGCCCAACTGGACGGCACCGATGACGACCCTGGAGAGGCAATCAGCAACCAGGTTCGACTTGCCAGCCACGTGCTTAATGTCCGTAGTGAACTCCGATATGTAGGACAGCTGCCGCTGCTGACGTGCCGACCAAGGCTCCGCCACTTTTGACATGGCAAAGGTGAGCGGCTTGTGGTCGACAAACGCCGTAAATTCACGGCCTTCCAGCATGAAACGGAAGTGCCGCACGGCCAAATAAAGTCCGAGGAGCTCCCGGTCAAAGGCGCTGTATTTGCGTTCTCTAGGCGTCAGCTGGCGGCTGAAAAAGGCGAGCGGCTGCCAAGCGCCCTCCACCCACTGCTCGTGCACTGTGCCGACCGCGTAGTCTGACGCGTCCGTGGTGATGGAGATGGGAGCCGTAGATGATGGGTGTGCCAGCAAAGCCGCCTGAGCCAACGCGGTCTTGACCTCAGCAAAAGCGCCGTCCGCCTCTGCTGTCCAGTCGATCTCCTGGACGGGGGTCTTGCCTTTCAACGCTTCATACAGCGGCCGCATGATGTGTGCGGCCCGAGCGATGAAACGGTGGTAGAAAGTCACCATCCCCAGAAACTCACGGAGCGACCGGGCTGTGAGCGGGCGAGGAAACGCCGCAACAGCCTCCACCTTCGCTGGCAGAGGTGTCGCACCGCCCTTGGTGACGCGGTGCCCCAGGAAATCGATGTCCGACACCCCGAACTGGCACTTTGCAGGATTGATGATTAATCCGTGTTCGTTGAGCCGTGTGAAAAGGGCTCGGAGGTGGGACAGGTGCTCCTGCACTGAAGCGCTGGCGACGAGTATGTCGTCGAGGTAAACAAACACAAACGGCAGGTCCCGCAGCACCGAATCCATCAGGCGCTGGAACGTCTGAGCGGCATTCTTGAGTCCAAAAGGCATCCGCAGGAACTCAAAAAGTCCAAAAGGCGTTATCACTGCTGTCTTGGGAATGTCCAGGGGGTGCATGGGCACCTGGTGGTATCCACGCACCAAGTCCACCTTGGAAAACACCCCCGTACCGGCCAGATGCGCCGAAAAGTCCTGAATGTGCGGCACCGGATAGCGGTCAGGCGTAGTGGCGTCGTTGAGTCGGCGGTAATCCCCGCACGGCGGAACCCGCCGTTCGATTTGGGAACGACGTGCAGGGGGGAAGCCCAAGGACTGTCGGAGCGGCGGACAATGCCCAGGCGCTCCATGGTTGCGAACTCCGCCCTCGCTACAGCCAGCTTAGAAGGGTTCAACCGCCGGGCCCTGGCATAGACAGGAGGCCCTCCGGTAGTGACGTGGTGTTCCACGCCATGCTTAGTGGTAAGCGCAGAGAAGGTGGGTAGCGACAGGTCTGGAAACTCGGCCAACAGTCTGAGAAACGTGTCTGCACCTGACAGCGAGCCTGACAGCCCGTCGTACGCTGCGCTGCCAAGTGTGCACACGAGGGAAGAAAACGTTAAGGCATCAACCAAACGCCTATTTTTAACGTCCACTAAGAGTCCATGAGCACACAAAAAATCCGCTCCGAGGAGGGGAAAAGAAATGTCCGCTGTCACAAAATCCCAGCTGAAACGCTGTCCTCCGATGCACAAACACATAGGCCTCACGCCGTACGTGCGAATGGGACTGCCGTTAGCCGTCGTCAATCGCGGTCCGTGCCCCCCACGGGCGACGTCTTCACTCGACGCTGGAACTACGCTCCGTTGAGCGCCCGTGTCACAC